TAGAGCTTTGAAAAGAAAACAATGGTGAAGGCTTTGTCGAGTAGAAGATGATTAACAAAAGCAGTTATGGAAAGAAAAAGACCACAAAGCCCTTATTGACGTTTTAAAAATTTAAAACGCGCTCCATCTATGTGTCGTTGGATCGAGAAAGATCTATGGCTACCTGCTTCACCCAATTTTTCACCGATAGAATTTTGCACTGGATCCTAAACTTATATATATATATATATATATATATATATATATATATATATATATATATATATATATATACACACATACATGTAATTTTGCATATTCTCAGTAAAAGAATATCGATTTAGTTTCTAGCAAATGGAATACTGGACTGACTGATTCAGAGACTTAATTAATCAGTCATCTAGTTGGAAAGCAGATTATTTTAAAGAGGAAGACTAAATCAGACAATAAATCAACACATATGATGTTTACCCAGTTCGATACAGTGTGTATCTATATCTGGGGGACGATCACCGCGGCGTCCAATCCACTAAATCATAATCCAATGTACAAAGGTAGAGAAACAACAATCTCACCCAAGTCCCACACAAGGTCAGTACCTAGTCTACAAAGGTTTAGTGGGTTGTTGAAGTCGGAGAGCCACGCATGCAGAAGTCCAATGAAATCCCTTCAATTGGAGAGCTAACTCTGATGCAATCCGCTTCAATGACGCAGTCCCACATTGTTCCCACAACTGAGTGATCTTTGTGTCCTATCGTTTAAGCAACGTTGATTCTTCTCAAGTTCTTCATCATAATCACCAAGAACTTATTGTCTTGAGAAGTGGCATGACAATCAGAGATGTGTGTTTCTGTTTAGCATCGAGTGTTTTTGGCTTCAATCAACACAACCCTAATTCTTGATCGAATGCGGATATATATACTTCCTTGGTAAGAACACTCTCCAAAATATCTTTGATTGTAGATGGTAGGACCTTTTGTGAAGAATGAAATCTTTAAGATTCGGTCCATACCTCCCACGCTAATCCGCTGATATTCTTTCCAACACTGTCATCACAAACCGCGTTAAGCTTTATGGAAACATCTTCCTTTATCAGATCTTCAGTGGCAGTGTGTCTGTTGATTATACTGATCGGTCAGTCTTCTATAAGAACAAACATACACCAAGCTAAACCCTATCTTAATTTGCCATAATAATATTGCCAATTATATGTTGGGTTTTTGAAGAAATAAAACACTAACAAACTCCCTCTTTGGATATTATTTGGCAAAATAACTCGACTAAGGATAGAACAATTTAGTTAAAGATAGAGACGTATAAATAACTGACACATAAAGGAAATAAGGTCTGAATTACAACCCATAAAGACATTATAGCACACAAGCCGTGCTGGATAAAAACAAAGAACAGATCAATTCTTCACAAAACATGAGGCCACCACAAAACCACGCCCAGACAGGGCTAGAAGGTAGCATAGACCACCATCAGAATCACAAAAAAAAAAAAAAACTCCCCCTGAGTTAGGTACTCCCCTTTTTGCCAAAGATAGAAAAATGACACATTAGGCATTGGAGGGACCTTCACTGTCAGACTTCACATCATCACCAACAGTAGATTCAGTCAAGCTCATTCGAAGCAGAACAGTTGCAAGTTCAGTGCGGGCCACATTGAACTGTCTTGAGATAATATCACTCACAGTCTCCAGCTCAGACACACGAGCCTTCGGACGCAGAGACAACTGTACATCCTGAGCATATGGAGTGTCTTCAACAGTAGCATCAGCCTCAGAGGTATGCGGAGGATCAACAGGTGTAACATCCCTGATGTGTTTGCCAGTCAACAGTCGTGGATCCACAGTATATAGGAGGGAAGGAGTAACAACCTCACTTTGCATCGGAACCAACCCCTGTGAAGTTAATATACCAAAGATGAGATTTGGATACGGAAGTCGTACCTTCTGTTCCCTGGGATGTATCAGGGTAAGAATATGATAGAAGATCCATTTCCCTAAGTCAACAGTCATCTTGGTGCCAACTCTAAATAGAAGAGCTACTATAGGTTTTCCCACTGTGTGGAAGTGTGCTGACGGAATCCAGTTGTGCAAGGAAATCCGGTGCAGAATAACAAACTTGGAGGTAAGTTGAGAGCTGGACAAGTTATCATTATCTCCAGTTGGCCAAACAGGGGCCAGTCCCCCAGTGAGGGTCTTTGCAACCAAATCCCAGTCAGAGACTTCTTCTTCTTCAACTGTCTTCAACCCATAGTACTCATTGATCATGTCTGGTCCGAACATATACCAATTACCCCTAATAAAGATTTGTTGGCACCTCGTACTAGTAAGGTTATCAATCTCCTCATTCAGGATGTAGTAGAACTCGTAGGTCAGCAGCTTTGAGTAAGGGCAAATGGATGTCACTGTCTTCAGCAGGCCAACCTCACTCAGTAGAGGCAAGATATCGCAGACTGAATTCAATTGATCCTCATCAAGTGATCTCTGGACTATTAGCTCTCGTCTCACCATTGTAGACCACTTGCCTTGAGCAGTTGCAGAGACAAACTGTGGCTTCTAAACAGAGGTATCAGGACTGTCAAAAACATTCTGCACATCAGGAGTAACACTCCTTCCTCTTGACCTTGTAGCAACTTTCATCTTTCTGGTTGTTGTGGATGGAACAACTGTAGGAACCTTATTCTTAACAGACGATCTCAGGGTTTTAAAGACTTGCCTGACCGGCGGGTCACTTTCAACCTTCTCAGAATCAGCTGATCTTCTTCTTTTCTATGGTTGATTGGATTCGGTATTTTCATCACCAGTTTCCACAGCAACTTTCTCTGGACCTCCTTTTCGTTTGGACTTTCGTCTTTCTCTGACAGGAGAACCTTTTGTAGGACTTGGAGAAATAGAATTGCTTGTCTTAGACACATGAGCAGATGAGGATGCAAGAAGCTTGGTGACTTCTCTGATTTTGAAAGCAGTGGAATCTGGGTATGCTGTTTCTTCAACTGTTAGAGACCCAATCGGGTCAGAGGATGGGGCTTGTGGACCGTAAACTTCAGCCAGAATTTTTTCATCATCACTGTCCAATGGAACGGAAGGCTCATTCGTCGGATGTATGACTCTGTATGGTTCAGGTATCGTGGCAGAGGGTAATCCCGCAAAGTGACGAATATGGTCAAGGCTCTCAGCCAAGTTGGAGGATGTATAGACGGGAACACCATCAATCGACTCAGAAGGATGGGGGCTTACAGACTGTTCAGCAATAGTCTCAACAGACAGCTTTGGTGGAACTACAACTAGGCAATCCTCAACAGAGGGCTTATCAGACAGAGTAGACACATGATCAACAGAAAGTACCGAGCGATCAACATCCGCAGAATATACAACCGGGCTCAAATTATCAACATTATCAGACTCGTGAACATTTTCCTCAGATTCAATCTCAAGAACAGGTTTTGCAGACTCAGATTTTACAGTGGACAACTGGGGTGGATCATCAGATACAATAGGCTTATTAGCAGACAGTAAGATTTTTGCACTATCAGATTTTTCAATAGGTACTTCAGACTCAACATCATCAGATAACAATTCAGAGGGCTTATCAGGAGAAATTTCAATCGGAGTATCAGAAGTATTTGACCTGTTTTGTAAAATCGCAATACGGTGCTTAGCCTCCTCTTGGGCTGCTTGAAGGTAGAGGGGACGAGCTTCTGTCATTCGTCTAGAGATCTCCTCCCATTCCAGAGCTCTTTGTGCAAAGTATTTGAGGAACGCCCCTGCTCAATTCCCATCATCTGGTTCGTCAATAGAGGCAGGGCTAATATTGTAACACCCCAAAATTTTGAAACTTTTAAAACTTATGTAATAAAGGTAAATTCTCATTAAATCCCAAAACGGAGTATTACTTAAACATAAGAGTGCGGGGTGCTATGCCACATCTGAGCTGGAGAACTCAGATGCACAGGCTAAACTAACTAAATATCCTCAATACATCATCATGGCACGCAGGCCGAAAGGAAAAACTATCTAACTAATCCAAGTTTTTCTAGCGCGCTCTGGAAGCTAATCATCTATGCCTGAAAGCCAAATATATATGTTCAGCGAATGATGCTGGGAACCCACTCCAACGCGTTGAAATACAATATAGGTAAATATATATATATATATATATATATATATATATATATATATATATATATATATGAAAACCATTTTGAAGCAGGAAGATATATACTTAGGAGACTCTAGCTTTAAAACCAGGAATACACTCGACAGGTAGGGAGAAGCATATTCAACAATGATAATCAGTTATATAGAGACAATATCATAAAAAACATGTATCTAAGGTCACAGTTCACTTTCAAATCATTCACATCATCATTCAATCATCATTCAAGTCACACAAGCATACTTTGGTGGCGCCACGGGACCAATCGCATGCCCCGAACATGAGGGTTAGTACATATAGTACTAACACGGCCCCGCAGCACCCTACCTCATACCACAGTATGAAGGGGTTGATCGCAACCAACTGTATAGACCGTCGATAGTTTCAACGGCGGATCACAGCCCTACACACCGCTGACGCGCTCAGTCGGTAGACTGTGATCCTCTTTTGACGACTGCGACCCTACACACCGCTTGACAAGCTCAGTCGGTGGGTCGTAACCGATCAAAGCCCTACACACCGCCTAAGGGACTCATTCGGTGGGCGATTATCTTCGGGGACTACGACCCTACACACCGCTGGCACATACACTCGGTGGATCGCAGCCGACCATAGCCCTACACACCGCCTGATCACTCATTCTGTGGACTATGGCCTTCCTCGGGTTAGTGGCCCTACACACCGCCTGGCGCGTCCAGTCGGTGGACCATAGCACACGAGGCCCATGTGGACCGCAGCCCAAGAAGTGAATCACTGACCGCAGCCAGGAGAATGAACCGCAGCTCATGAGTAACCAGTTTGACCGCAGCCAACTTCTGAACCGCAGCTCCGGAATAACCAATTTGATCGCAACCAAATTGGGGTATCATGCTCACATAACACATAGTAACACATAATAGCACATTGGGAAGGGGGAAAACGTATAAATAAACTTATGCGTGATTATCCACATACTAAGAATATTCCTAAGGGGTTCATACATCTTCCACCTAGGCCAACGGGATACCAATTCGACTAGCATGCAATACACAAGACTCCTTTATCCTACGAACGGTACCCGAAACATCAAACTAGACTCATGCACGACAAACGGAGTCCATTGGGACACCACGGGGGGTTGGGGAACATCAAACGGGGAAGCCAAAGTCCCGAGGTGGGCAACAACCAGCGGGTAGCCGGTGGGTGGAGGGCCACCCGCCGGCGAAACTCCTCCGGGCAACGGGTGCCCGGCGGGCAGTCACCTGCCCGCTGCCAGCGGCGTCTTCTTTGGGTAGCGGGTAGGTGGCGGGTCCCCCTACCCCCACTAACTATTTATCAAAATAAACGTCCCTGGATCCTCCGTGGAACCCGAAACCATGCTTAGACACTTTTAAACGCAAATAACGACACCACGTAGACAATTAACGGATCAAAAGCAAGAATCACATAGAACACATCCTAACGTGACTTCTAAACATAATCAACGCCCAAACATGTGAATTTCCACCCAAATATGCCAAGAAAATCCCAATACGAAATTCATGATTCAACCTAGGGCTCTAATCATATTTAAATCACAAATTATGCTTTATCTTTAAAAATCAAGAACATCACACAATTATCAAGATTCTCTTATCATCATCAAGATCACACATAAAATCATCTCAACAATTATCAAGATCATATCACAATTATCATAGAAGATTTCATCAAGACACAAGTATAGAATAAGGAGCCAAAGAAGAAGATTTATAGCAAGGAAAATAGGTTTTGTTGAGACATGGGTTACCTCTTAGCCTTAATTAAATTCCTTGGCTATGAAGGGTCTTTCTTTAAGATTTCTTCTTTCTTGATTTCTACTATGGGAATTCTTGGAAATTCTTGTATGGTGAAAGTTATTCTGGTGTGGGTTCAAGGTGCCTCCTATGCCCCTATTTATATATCTAAGAGCCCTAATTAGGGTCTAAATGGTATGGGCTTGCCAATTCTATTCCTTATAGGACTAAGGGGTTGGTTTTAGGGATAAGGGTTCATGGACTATGGTGGACCCCTTTTTAGCTAATTAATGGATTTTAATTCCCTTTTTAGGGTACGTAATTAATTAATTAGTTTGGTTTAGGGGTCGTAACACGGGGTGTTACAAATATCATCACCCGCTTCTGAAGCCATCACCAAGAGGTTGCTTGTATCCTCGTCTGACCAGTCCTCATAGAACTCAGGGTAGTCTAAAATCCCAGTGACCAGAATCTCATCGCGAAGAACAGGGTCCAATTTTAGTTTTTTCTTCATTGCGAGTTGGAGGAGCGTTTTCACATGTTTCTGAGCTTTCTCTAGTGAGAGAGTTTTCTTTCCCAACTTGATAATGATGTTCCTCACTGCGTCGGCCATATCTGGGAAATTTTTCTTTTTGAGAGAGAGAGGGAGGAAAACAACAAAAAACCTAGGCAGAGATGTTTTGAGAGAGGATTAACCGAGAACAGAGTAGTGTTGAGAACTCTTATTCCACTACGATTGATCAGATGAAGTATATAATCCCAAGGGTGATGAACGGTAATCAATGCAGCTATCAGGATGCATGCAGCTATGAGGTGATTGTGCAACGGTATAGCTCCTTTTTAGGGATAAAACGGAAGATTTGAAATTTGAAAGATGCAAACTAATTTTAGTAAGCTAGGTTAAGATATTTGCTTAACAAAACATAAGGGAGTTAATTTAGGAAGTCAAGGATTTGAATTTTGACTTGAGGCTGAGAAAACCATAAACTCTCCTTCTGATTTACCGTTCTGTCTTAACAGTCCATCTTGCAGATCCCCAGAGCAGATTTGAGAATCTTAAACTGATTTGCGTCTAGAGGCTTAGTCAGTATGTCTACCAACTGTTTGTCAGCCTGAATATATTCCAACTCGATCTCTTTTGATTCGACCAAATCTCTGATATAGTGATGCCTTATATCAATATGTTTGGTGCTGGAGTGTTGAACAGGATTCTTTGAAATGTTTATTGCACTGACATTGTCATAGTACAGTGTCATAGTTTTTGAGTTAGACCATAATCCATCAGCATTTGCTTCATCCATACAAGTTGAGTGCAACATCCTGCAGTTGCTATGTATTCTGCCTTAGCTGTACTCAGAGAAATTGAATTCTGTTTCTTACTTAGCCATGACACTAAATTCTTCCCAACAAAGAAGCATCCACCAGATGTACTTTTTCTGTCGTCAATGTTTCCTGCCCAATCAGCATCACAGTAAGCAATTAGACTCAGTTCACTGTCCTTAGAATACCATATTCTATATTGAATTGTACCCTTGATGTATTTCAAAATCCGTTTAGCAGCTATCAAGTGTGATTCTTTGGGAGCAGATTGATATCTTGCA